GAATTCCTCATTATGACAAAAGGAACCCTGAAAAATAATCCCAGCTGCTGATAACATATTAAAAAGTGACATTTCTTACTATTAACCTGTCAAAAAATAGATCTAGTATAATTTCAAAGCCTCTGCAAGACAAGTTTTGTATTTGCTCTTAGTCAAATACAAAGCTAAATTGAATCCCTGACTAGATATCTGCCTTTATCACTGCTGCACTTACACTACATAAAACTTAAAAAGAAACTTGCTACCCTCTCAGTGTGCATCCACAGTGATTCCTTAATGGGACTGCTGGCAAGAGTGACAAAGCTTCACACTGGGAGTTTTGGCCACAGGCTTTTTAACAATGGGACACAGAACCTTTGGAGAAACATTTCAAATCCTCAGAAAATCACTGAGGCATGACCCATCCATGGGTGCATCCTAGCCCATGTACCTACTGCCTGGCAAAGATTTGAGCATTTCCTTGGGAGAGATTCCAGCAGGATCGGTTTTTTATCTGCAGGAAGTTTTCACCAGGCAGATCAAACTCACATAAGCTCTTTCAAATCAGTGTTTCCTCACTTTGGTATTTTGTCACTAGATGAAAAGAACAACAATCTGGTTGAAACCTTTTTTTAAAAGGTAACAGCTTTCTGCCTAGATGAGATTATTGATGGGTTTTCCCAGTCACTAGTGCATTTGGAGGTCCACAGAGTGTGACAGCTCCTCTCCAGAGTGAAAAGGCTTGTGTGTGCAGCAGGCAGTTCTGCACTGACATGGGCCTCTGCTTCACACCAAAACTGCAGTGCAATAAAACCAGCATTTTCCAGCCCAAATGGCTGAGGAGCAAGAGACACCTAAGATCATCTGAAAAAAAAAATTAAAAACTAATAAAACCCAATTCACAGAGAACATGTTTCATCTATCATTTTGAAGCAGGAAGGCAATAAAAAATATGTTCAGCATGAACACACACAAGTATTACCAAACACTTAAACTCAAAATATAACAAAAGCCAAAAATTTTAATTAATTAGATTATATCTCACAGATGCACAAAAATTCTTATTCATTAAATTACCAGGTGCTCATATTTGTCAAACACAAAACCTGAATGCAATACACCTTTCTTTGCCTTACCTCAACATGTACTGCCCTCCAACCCCCTAGTCTACAGCTCAGATTTTTATAAACTTGGCTTATAATTGTTACTGAAAAGCATTTAGTCTCCAATAGAAACTGTGAAGAAATCAGCCTGAAATAGAAACTGGTTGGTGAAAAACTACTCAGTCGCTATGGGATCTTATTTTTCATCCTTCACTTGCCTGCCTTGTTCATTGGCGCAGTATTTTAAAATCCTGCAAAGCCCTAGTCTAGCTCCTCTTGAGCTCCTATTTTTTTAAAGGAACGATGGCCAATATATATTCAGCTTTTTATAGTGAGAGCACAGCCTCAGAAGCACCTCCTTATTAAGTGTACAGGTTATGCAGCCTCATTGCTGTAGGATGGATCTATTTTCTTTCAAGTTACTGTTTAATATGGCTCTGTAAATATTTAAATGTATAGCTACCTTCAGCTATTTCATTAATTCATAATTTTAGGTCTTGTTCTTATGTTTGCAGCCTCTGACACTAGAAATCTGTGTGTGCTTCCTCCATCTCTAAATGTGCTTTTCTGTGCTTCTGAGAACATTACTGCTATTGACTGCAAATTGCACCCAAAAAAGCCCTTTAAGATGTATTAAGACCTGAGATATAATCCTCCCATCAGCTTACATCTTCAGTGAACAAGAGAAGGAAGTTGATAACTGAAGTACAGAGAAGTTTGTGTGATGTCTAGAGAGGCTACCTAGAACAGAAGCTGGACAGTGTTAAAGGAATAAAATGGGTATTTATTAAAAGGCCTTCAAAGGATACACCTTGGGCAGTACAAGAGCCCAGCCATGGCTCTACCCAAGATGGGCTCTGGTCACCAGTTTTGACACTTTTATAAGTTTTGGTCCATTTACATATTGGGGAAAGTATCCAGTTAGAGCTTCAGGTTATGAAGTCCCATCCTCCCAGATTGCTCTCCTCAGTTTGCTGTTGTTTGTGCTTTTTGGGCCCAAAGCTGTCATGGTGTCTTTGGCGCTCAAGCTGGAAAAGGATTGTTTTGTCTGACTAAACTGTGAAGAGAACTTGCTAACACTTTATATGAAGTTCAGAGTTACACACTAATGCAGTACAGAATCTGGAAAATATGAAAGCTACAACTTCCTTAAGTTTTCTCTGACTATGTATCATGTGCATAGTCACAAAAAAGAATAAAATCTGCTGCTGTTGTATTGATCCCAGTTCTAGTGGCAGCTCACCAGTATCACAAATATTGTTCCAGATTTTTCTATACGTAGGTATCGGTAGGAGGTGCAGCACTAACTTTTCATAGCAATCTGTCAAAAGTATAGATGTGAGGTATCCTTCAGCACAAATGTTCTTGTGTAACAGATACACACAAATACAGGCTTTTTTTTTTTTTTTTTGCCAAAATATTGTAGAAAATATTTTTGTTGTAAAAGGTGAAATTATTGCTTCATGAAAAAGAGCAATGAAAAAACCCTTCAAAATAGAGTTGCAAGACAAAGCCCACCACAATATTTATAAGTAACAAGAATAAACTTTGAGAAAGACTTCTGGAATGTAAACGCAAAATTTATTTGCCATAGATCTGGTTTGGTGGCTGCACTGAGAAATTGGCAACAACCAACCAACAAGATATTTTGTGTCAATCAAACAGATCTGTTGGTTTTCCACTGAAAATAATACAAGAATAAATAAAAAGGATAATGAAAGAAAAAAAAAGATGGCTGGACATGCTCACAAGATGCTGCTACTCAAACAAAAGGCTCCATATCTTAATTAAAAGTGTATTTCAAAAGGGAAGAGGAAGCATAATTTAACTTCTATGAAGAGTTACATACTTTTCAAGACTTCCCGCCTCCAAATACTTTTCAGACAAAAGAGTTAAAACATTAATCCAAACTAGACCTTGTTTATTTTACTTTGAGACAAAAGCTTTAGTTGAACAAACTGAAGGTTCTTTCAAATATAATGAGGAATTACTTTCATTTAGAGGAAAAATAATATGAAACACACAGAAAAAAATGTTTTAGAGGTGATTTAATATATGCATCAAAATTGAGCTCACTGGCCAAGAAACTATTTTTGCGACTGAGTTTTGGACCCTTCAAATTTATGTTCAGCTTGAGACAACTGAAATAAATCTTCCTTTAATTAATTTTGATAAATGGATTGAGACATGCAGTCTGTTGTGGTTTTGGCACACTGTCCTGCCTCTTGAATGGCCACGAGATTAACTTCAGTGCATGAAAGCCTCTATTCTTAATTTTGAAATGTTGCAAAATTGTGTAGTAAACAACAAGTAACTGAAAAGCACAAAAGAATCCTGTGTTCTGTGGCAGCCTGCAGTGCACCCAACCCAGAGACATTTAGGACATGGGAGAATGGAGAGCTGCACTCAGGTGCTCTCCAAACAGCACATGAAGAGTGAAGACACAGGAGAATCCAGGACTTCTATTTAAAAAAAGGCTCTCCAAAATAACATTAGGTCACAATAGCAAGCAATGGTATTTAAATGCAATACTTCCAATTTTAAAATTAGAAAACACTGTTTTGACTGCTAAGGTGGGAAGAGAGGAGCCCTGATCCTAGGAAAAAAACCCATTCATTTACTTCACAAGCAGACAAAAATTGCATGGGTTTGAAGACTCTAAAGGCACTGCATGAAACCAAGTGCTTTTCAAACACTCATCTAGGAAGTTTATGGCATAGCTTAGAGTTGGCAGCTGTTTCCAGATGTCAGATCACAAGTAAAACATAAATATTTTGAGGAGAGCTCTGAGAGTATAGTTTTCTGCAAACTGAGAGAAACAACCAAGTGGTGCAATTGAAAAATTCTTTTCTTGGGCCAACATCCTTTTGGATGGGAAACCATTCTCTTTCAAAAGATCAGCTATAGATAGATAAATATTAGAGACTCTTTACCTGCATAGATGAATTTGGTTTGCCAGTCACTGAGGAATGTGAGTGAAAGAAATCTGCATTTTGAACTGAGAATATTTCCTCCTGTAGAAAAACTGTCCATTAGAAAAAGCCCCAAAGTCACATCAAAAACACTCACAAAACAAAGAATCACTAATATGAACATAAGAACCGAAGCCCACACATATCAGTTGCCACTGGCCATTACACCATTTGAACTGCTTTGGTATTTGTAGTGAACACACACTTGTTCTCTCCAGTATTTGACTGAAAGGTTGTGCATACAGCAAGAGAAGTTCTGTAAACTTTTCAAAGTTTAGCAGAGAAAACCACGAAAATTTCATTTATTTTGAAATATTTTTTTGATATTTATAGTTCTTCTACTTTGACACATCTTCCTGTACTTTTCTTTATAAATGTCTATTTTAAAATAAATCATCAAACACTTCAGGCAATTAGATTCAAATCTCTACTGACAAGCAAAGTTAAAAAAGGAAGTTCTGACAAAGTCACTGTAAAGATGTCACAAGAATAATGAATAAACATTTCTATACAATTTTATTCATACTTCAGCTGCGATTTCTGTTAATAACGGTTTTCAATTTCTTTGATGAAGGAGAAAGCAATTGGCTTCAGTCCTCACAAGTAATAGAAGGCACACTCCTCTCTCTACAGATTGTCTCTTAGAATTTAACATGAATAGAAGATCTTCAACCTTAACCATTTAAGTGGGAAAAGCAGACTGCAAGGCCACAAAAATTATCAAAATCCCCTTTAAATGGATGTACTTCAAAACTCCCCAAAACAACCACAAAGAGCACTATATATTTAGTTTTCAAAGCAGCTTCCATTCCATGTTTCTTATAAGCAGCTAAACATTGTAATCACTGTACATGTGAGCTGGAACTTAGATGCCTTCCAGGCAAATAAAAAGTTGTAGCCTGAGGTTAATAAAACACAGGAGCAGAAAGAGAAATGAAACTCTGAATTCTCATATCGCACAATTCAAGTTTATTCCATTCATTCTTGCAACACAAACTTAAAAATACAGTATAATTTAGCATTCTGATGTCTATGAACCATGATAATGATGAACCCAACTGTGTCAAAACAGTTAACAATGGTGAAAAGAGAAAGTCAAATATCAAAATGCACAGAGCACTAATTTTTCTTCTGTCACTGTGTAGAAAGATGATTGTTTATCCATTTACAAAATATAATTAAGACAAGTTTGTTTTGAAATTTTGCATGCAACACTGCAATTGCTTGACCTAGGACACTCTATTCTTACCAGCCTCTTCTACAAATAATCAGTGTTATGTTCAGTTCCATTTAACTATTGTACTCCTTTTCTCATTTGCTCCCTGTAAGAAAAAGGGAGCAGAGGGTACAAAATCCAAAATATACTTAAGTTTATAACTTATTCAGCACAAATTTCAAAGGAAAAGGTTTAAGAACAGAGTGGATTTCCAAGTATATGCAATTCCAGTCTGACAAAGTATTTAAATTCTGTTTATAGAATGAAAAATAATTTACAGTTTGGTATTTTTATCTAGTTAGGACCACTCAAAGATAGAGGAAGCCACCCATTATTTTTTCCACAAAATAGCTAACAAGAAGGAAACAAATGAACAAGCCCAGTCTTGAGACAATTACAAATGTATAAGCTTTTATTTTTACTTTTTTTTTTTAATCCTGGGCAAAATGATTAAACACCTGTTATGTAGTGCAAAAAGCAGAAAAGTATTTCTTCTTTATATGCCAAACATTAAATGCCATCTTTTTAGCTATCTCAAAAGGCAGCTTGGGTATGTATTACAGCCAAATTAACACTTGACTCACTGAAGTCTGTTTGCTTCTTTTTCCCCCCCAGAGGGTGAAGTAAGAAAAAATAAGGTGTCCCCATAATTGTAGAAAAAGGGAGGCAAAATTGCCTCAGTGAATCTCCAGAAGAGTTAGTACAAAGACAATGTTTCTTTGCTCACTTAAATGAGAGTTAAAGGGAAAGGCAGGAAAGAATACCGAAGGAAAAAAAAATAATACAAACCACTATGCCCAGACAACTTGACACTAATCAACACAAAAAACTTGAATAATCAAGTTCTCCACGTAAAAACAGATTGCAGTTTTCTAGACTAGCATTTGAATAGCTAAGTATTTAATAGCATAATATGGCGGCAAATTGATGCCAAAGATTGTTACTTTCATAGCTGAATAAAGAGTTAAACCTATTGTCTGTGTTCACACTATTACAATGACATGACAATCCAGCACTGATCAGAGATAAGATTAAAGAGTCCTCTTATAGTTTTTAAAAGCACTGTTCACCAAATATTCTTGTTCTTTTATCAGCAGTTCACCAATTGATTTATCACTGATTTCCAACCCTTCTGTTCTTCCTTGCCACCCATCTCCAAGAAACAGATTAATTGCACTGTACAGTTTATGGCCACAGTTGATTGTTTTCTCCATTGCTTTTCTTATGCAATGTGTAGATGTAGATCAGTTCCTGCTCTCATTTTACACTCTCAATGCAATGCTTTTCATATTTGAGACATTCATTCCTAATATGCAACATTATTCAAGTAAAACTAAATCTCCATTAAATACTAGTGGTAGTCACCAGTCTACTTCTATATATCCTCTCAATTTCAACAGTGATTTCAAAGTAATATCAGCTACTTTTGTTTAAGGATTCAACATGAGACGTTATATACACGTGCTTTTCTGTATTTTGTTACCAGGAAGTTTGACATCTGTATTTCAAAAGAGAGGAAGATGTACAGTTTGTGGTACAGAACCTGTTACTCAGTTTTAGATGAACCAGGCGTCTAATGAAAATTTTCAGGATGAAAGCCAGCAGCTCAGATATTCCTGAGGACCACAAGATGTGACAGGAGTGCCTACAACATCATTAAATACCTTCCCACAAGTGATCAAGACTGTCATACTAGTATAGTAAATCTTATCTAGAAGTCAGTGGTTAATGTGGTACGGTCATACTGGGAACTTCCAGAACAAGCCTCATGCCTTAATGGAATTTAAGAGGTTCATCCATTCGACAATGAAACACTAATTTGAAGCTATGCACAATTAAAAAAATTCTGTAGTAGTGAGAGCAAGTTAAGACTTCTGCTTGTACATCTTCCTGCTTCTACATCTGAGCTTAGAAAGGTTCTATGTCTACCAGAAAGGTTTAGCAACAATATTCACCTGATCTTTCCACATTTGCCTTGATTACCCTTGTGTACCAAACAGCCTGGAGCTTTCACACAAGTATTATATGCTGATGTGGTGAGTAAAGAAATTTCATCTTCCATTCCTTTTGGAAAAAAACTACAGTGAAATTTTGACCCCTCTGTCAAAATCAGTTACTTAAAATGTTTGTCCGGGACTGAAACAAATATGGGATAGAAAGACTTCAAATTCAAGCATCCAAAAGTACCTTGGCAGGTATTATGGAGTGTAACACCACCATGCCTCAACTGGTCTTTCTTTGTTTGCTCAAGAGTCAGAAAACATTAGTGTGACATCCAATTAGTCAATATAAAGAACAGTTCCAATAACTAGTATCAAAAGTCCTCAAAACTGTAACAGAGGCTTTAGGCAGAAGAAGAATAAAGCTACCCACTGAGAGAGAAGAGAGAAGAGCAACCCAGCCACCTACATTACTACACTTCAGATTATGGCAGACACTAAGAGCATGGGACTATTGTCTCCTTCACAATTAGTTTCAGGTACATAGCACAGTACTTCCATCTAGAGGAAGTACTTCCATCCATCTAAGAAATCTTAGTACTAATCTAGAAGGCTTACAAGCCAAATATTCAGCATGGTCTGTCTTCCTTCTTCCATTTTCACTAGAAACGGAAAAAGATTGTGCACTGGAAAGAAGTCCTGGAGGGACACTTCATAATTGTTTTCAACCCCCTCCAACCAGATTATATTTGATACAAGCCCCTAACTAGTCTGACTCATAAAGAATTTCCCTCCCCCCAAAGTATTTAGCTGAAGAAGCTGGAAGATGCAAAGAGTGACAGACAGGCAGCAGTGTGAGGCCACAGGAGAGACATTTAAGATATCAGTCCATCCGTCACTGAAGAAGAGTCTTGATTGCCTGGTTGTCAGTGGCTTCAAAGGCAGTTAGTCCATCTGGGCCTTTCACAGTCTTATCAGCACCCTGGAAAGACAATGGGAAGGACTGTCAGTTCATAAAGCCAGGCTGCATCAGTACAAAGTGTGTCAAAAGATATAAAACTTGAATAATTATATTGATTACGTACAGCTTTTTACTACAGTGCTTGTTTTCATTCAGAAACCAACCAGACAAGATTTATGTACATAACTTTTCAGCATGCTAATCTGAGTTTCCAAATTTGTCATTTAAAAATAAGGAAAAAAGCCACCATTTTTGTTACAAAGAAAGTTGCAAATCCAACAAATTATCAGTTAATCTTAGACGTATTTTTTGTTTCCAGCAACTAGTACTCTTACAAAAGCAAAAATTCAGTGTTACACACTTCTACAAAATATGGTGCAAGAAGCTCTCACATGCTAAATTACAGAGGTAATACCTGGAAGAGCTGATTTACTAACAAATTATACTATATTTGTTCTATATCATAAAATGGCCACATTCATCAAGGATGGTGCTTCTCTTCCATTCTGAAAAAAATGTGCCCATTGATACATTAGAAAAACAACACCACAAAATCATTCCAAGTTCAAAACTGCTCAGGTTTTGAAAGAGTTATGTCTACACCTAAAAGGCAGCCAAACAGAACAGGGAGGCAACAGGAAAATGTAGGATAATGCACCAACTGGATAAATCAAAGAATTAGAATAAACTGCTGCAAGTAAGCAAAAGCACTGTGCCAGATTTATGGCAGGAGAACAAAAGAAGGGAAACACAGTGATTAACTAGCCATGTTTGCTTTGAGCACTGTGTAATCACACTCATGAAAGGGAAAACACAGACTAAACTGTAAATAGGGTAGCTAAATAATGGGACAAAAGTTATTAGAGATCACAGGACTGATTTCAGAACAACTCTGCAAGATTATATGCAATCTCACTTGAAAATGACAGGAAAAACACTTTGGGTACAAACACATTTTGTCAAAAGCGTGTACCAGCAGAGGGTTGTCTTCAGTTTACGCGTAAGCTCTCCACAAAGTATGTACAAATCCCTTCTCAATTACAAGAAAGATTGTTAGTTACTATTAAGGACACTGAATAGTTTAAGGACATAATGGACCTAGAATTTCCATAGCTTCTTCACTGATTATACACACAAATCCCCACTGAACACAATACCATGTCTGCTCCCAAGACAACTGCCACTTCCCTAAACTTCGCAACAAACAGTCTAATAAACTGGATCTGATACCACTGTGATGTGCTACTAATGCTACTTTTCACAACATAGCATATTTCCCTCTCTAAAACTCCTGCACTCTTTACTTGAATGTACTCAATCTGTCATTTGAAAAATATTGGTTTTGCAGTGGTTTATATGGCAGCACTGCCAGTCTTGTGGTCCACTGGCCAAACTGATCCTCTTGGAGCTGCTCATCTTCCTTGTGGCCCCTAGAGACTCTCAGTGCAAGAGATGCACTGAGTTCACTCCAGTGACAGGAGCAATTTTTAGTATTTCCTCTCTCCTATCACTGTGTAACATCCTTAGCCCAAACAGTACAAGGATGTTGCAGTTCTTTGGCATATGAACATGAGCTGAATTAGCCTGTTCCCGACAAATGACAATTGGGTTACTACAAATACACACTTGGGCTGAAACCATGGGAACATGGCTTGTAAAACCCCCAAGAGATTTAGCAGGTATTCAACACTTATAACCTTAGTTGTCCATGGAAAAGAAAGGCAAATAAGAGTACAAATAGCTTCTTTTGCAGGTGTTGATTATTTCTGTTGCTTAGATAGCACTCAGATGAGAATCTATGTGGAAATTAAGAAGGTTTCAAAGCTGTTCCTTGATGTTAAGCTCAGAAAATCCTGATTTGAAGAAAAATGGAACTATGCAGTAACCGACCTGACAGAATTTAAAGAATTCTAATTCATAAAACTCTCCACCAAGGTATCAGCATTTAGGGTACGAAAGATAACAGTTAACTGAGGTAACTTTGAAGTATAAAGAGAGGTCTTAATCTTAACATGGGACTGCTCTCCCCATCTCAGAAAAATACTTCAGAAAAATTATTGACATTCAAGACCTGGGTTTCTAAAACAGCTTTAGTGAATGTAGGATAAGAGGATCATGACTACCTAAGGAGGACACCGTTTATTAAACCCCTTACTAATAAATTTAGAAAATTGGCCATTAGCTGGACAGAAAGACTCCTGCCTACATTCAATAACAAGAGAAGGAAATAATAAAGGTCAGGTCAAGAGGACTTTAATTTGTAGAAGTACAACACTGCCTGGAAGCAACTTTATTAAAAAACTCATAGGAGTACAATGATTTCACAGTATTCTCTACTTCCCCAAAGTAAAAAGTTCCTAATATTTATGTTATGTTCTACTCCAAAAATACACATACACAAATAAATATAAACCTTCTCTCCTGGGCAGGGGAATAACAAACAAGAATGTTTGCCCACTTCAGTCACCAGGCAAAGCACAAATGTTAAACAGGCTCTGAGAGCCACACATGAGCTACTTGGCTCCAGCTGCAGTTCTGGAAAAAACCCAAAGCAACAAGCACAGAACCCATGATGAGAGCTGAGCTCCCACTAAACTGTGAAACCAGAACTGGGGGCACTTAACAAAGCTGGGAGAAGATTGGTTTACACAGCAAGCAGCAAACTGCTAAAAAGAGTTGCCAGATGACACAACAGAGGCAGATGTCTCCTTGTTCAAAAAGTACGTGGAAGAATTAATGGCCAACAGATCTGCCAACACTTCTAAACGAGGGACAGATGCATGCACCTCTGAAATCCCCAGTACAGCAACCATGAATGAGGGAAATGAGTGAGCAGATGTGGACATACTCACAGCTCTTCCTTTTGCTACTGTCAGAGAAGAAAAAAGGGACTAAACTGCCCAACTTAATAGGATATTTATTGTAAAACAAAAGCAGAACTATTTTGGAAGTTGAACAAATGGATGAAGTTTGTTGCATCCAATGCAACAACCCTCATTCTCTAAGCTTTCAAAACTGCTAATTGCCTATTTTAACATATTGGTTTCTCTGACACTAAAAAATCACAACTTTTTACATTACAAATCAAACACCATATTATTAAAGAAAAACATGGATCAGTGTCTGAAACAATTCTTGAAATACTCCTCCTTCTCCTCCCTTTCAATAGCTTGAGAGTCTCACATAAAAGGTTTTAAACACCTCCACAGTCCATCCACCACAGAAAGCAATGGAGAATGTTGGCTTAGTAGCTGGGAAGAACATTAAAGAGTCAGGAATTTTTAGATCTCTCAGTAAGGGTTGACTCCCGAGTCACAGGTATCTGCTACCAAAGAACATATGACTATGGTACAAACAAGGCACGCTTAGTTTAAACGAATGTTTAAACAAGGTTCATAAAATAACTCTGTTAAGAGACAGAACAACGTCTACATGTAAGCCCTGCCTCAAACAGAGCTGATAAGCCAACTTCCAGTTGATAAATATTTCATCAGCTAGCCCATGTAAATGGAAGCAATCAGCATTTAACTCTGCATAAAGAAATCAGAAAGTAATTTATTATTTGAACTAATCTAGGTTGGAAAACCCTCCAAACCAGAAATAGAAATAAATCAACATGGAATAAAGGATACCTTATTTTTTGATGATCCTAAATGAAGGATCAATCCTCACAATAAATTTAAGCAAGTCGGACACACCATTTGAATCGTAAATTAAGTCACTGCATTTGTTTATAAACAAGCATACATAATATCAGACAAGATCAAAGAAGTTAAGTGAAATTCATGCAGCATTAAGGGAGTTAAGGAAAACTTCACCCTGGAAGTGGCATATGAAAGTATTACATGGCAAGAATTCCTTTGGCCAAATGACTTAAGTGTAATCAAGGAGTGCATGTGAATGGAGGAAAAAGATTGCTTGAATTAACTACTTTGTAAAATTGATCACTTTTGTAATATAAATCAATGCGCAAACAGAGACAGATTAAGCTTATTCTCCTCAGGACAAAATTTTTAAGCTATAGGACAGAGAAAGCTTGGCTTCCTATTTTTATTTCCCCTCCCTCTGCTAACCCAGATGGGTTCTCAGTCATCTGGCAAAAGCTGAGGGAAACCACACCTCTCAGCAACTTCGCAGCAGAGATTGCATCACATGAAGCACTTAAACAGCTGCCAAAGCCAAATCCACTGAAGGAATGCATTTTTTTTTCCCTTACTGATTTGCAGCCCTGCTCTCTAGCTCGAGCCCACAATACTCTTATGGTCACCGTTACTTTTGCTACACAACAGAAGTTCTTCAACTTGGTCTTTCAGCTATCTTTCACCACGATCAGAATACCCTCTCTGTTTTAGCAACACAAATGGCATTTTTAGCAACACAAATGGCATTTGTTTGATGTTCTGAACATATCATCTGGAGCATCATAATCTTATTGAAAAAAAAATCACAGTAATATGCTTTGCTAATGTTCAAAACATTTGTATCTCACCTTTGACAGAAGCAATTTCACACATGAAACATGGCCCTCATAGACTGCTGATAGGAGTGGTGTGATATTGTGTTTGTCTGGAGCCTGCAAATTGAGATACAATTACTTGAAGGACAATTTCACACAGCATTATAAGGTTTCACAGAACTTTTTAATTTTCTTTAATCAACAGTAAGGAAATAAAAATTTAAGAATATTTGCCAGAAATGCATTCCACAGGATTTTTTACCTTTTTTTAATACAGAAAAGTTAACATTTAAGAAAGAGGTAATAGCAAGACATATCTTCCACAAGACTTCAAGGTATCCCAAAGCTTGTTCATAATTTTAGGCCAATTGTGCAGTTTCAGCTGACAAATTTTGCCCAATTTAAAAACAGTACTCCAAATTCTCCCATTTCACAGGCAGCATCACTTCAGAAAACAGTTTTGGCTGAAATATTCTTTTGGCTTTCTTCTCTGTAAACTACAGTCCTGGAAAGAATAAGAAATGGAGCAACTGAAATGCTATTTTTAACTCTTCCCCAGCTAGGAAAATTCCCCAAGGAAGAGAATCTTTCCAGACATCCAGGAGCAAAATCCTAGCATTTTTGTTATGAACTAAAGCTAAGATGTCTTACATGTTAACTTTTGGACAAGTGTTCTAAGGCTTGTCAACATTTGGGGTGTATGGTTAAAGTATTTAGGAATTTAACTTCTGGAGGGCTGATATAGCGTAGTCAAGTCTTTTCAAAACAAGAAGCTATGCATGTCAAGCTACAGCAAAATGTCTTAAACAAGAAAGAATGTCTCCAAAGAAGAGACACACTTTTCCCAATGTGTCCAAAAAGAATTCAAACATTTAATAAGTGTGAACTTCTAACCTCTAGAATCCCACCTCTCAAATATTTTTAGATGCATTGAATTGTTTAGTTTGATTTATATATTTCAGTGACCATTTAGGCACTTACACCAATCTCTTTGGTGTGTGTGGGAAGACTAAGAGCTGTTTGCAAATACAATAATACATACATTAATGTCAGCTCCTTTCAAGAGCAAAAATTCCAGAATCTCAAGCTGGCCACAGTCTGCTGCATAGTGAAGAGGCTTCCTCCCACCTTCAAGCGTCCGGTTGACATCTTCACCCTTTAAAATAAACATAATCTCATCAGCAAAATTTTAGAGCTAACACACGAGGAAGAGCTTGAAAGAAATACAACACATTTAAACATGCTGAAGAATGTTCCACCCAAATATTTTAGTCACTGCCCAAGAAAAATTAAGTCGTTCAATTTCTATTCCCTCACATCTGCACTTATGACTGTAAGACAACCTTGATCCCTTGTTCTGTATTGCATCTCAGGTGTACCTGTACACAGGGTACAAGTGTACTAGGTAACTCATGATTTAAAAAAAAACCCAAACCAAACCAATAAAAAAGCTATTAGAGCTTGTACAAAATGCTCCCCTTGGCTCATTTTGCTTCTCTTGCGTCACAACTAGGATCATAGTTATCTAGCTAAGTTCCTTTATCTGCTTCTGTGAATACTGAAGCTTTGCATAATGACAAACCAGCTGCATAGAAGTAAGTCAGCATCATAACTACCAGCAAGTGAGTCCAGGCCATCCATAATTTAAAATCCAATTATGAAACTGTCCACCCTGTTTTATAAATAGCACTTGCCAATTCTACATGACATAAACAAGTCTGAAGAGTCAAGCAAATCAGGCCACAGGAAGTTGTACTCTAATGCCTCTCATAGTGGATTGAGACATCTCTTAAGGCGTAAACAAAATTTAATTTACTGAGTACCTAATCAGCTTTGTTTCCTCACCTTGGGTTGTGCAACTAAGGATAAACTGATTTACTGCCCTTCGTTAGTGACAAGAAGTTACTGGAAACCAACTAGAGACAAGCTGCGTGGGTAAGTGGCTTCTTGTTCTTATGTGCAAGAAATGTTCGTATTTTAGGAAGTGGCTAAATTTTGCATCATACCTCAAGCCCTGAATCTCCACAGAAAAACAATCAGAAGAATTTCAGCTGCGGCACCAATTCATACTTCTATATAGAGCCCCTGCAGTCCCTTCACTCCTATCCCAAAGTTTCAGAAAGTGCACAGAATAGAGGGATTGACATACATCTTCCAGCCATTACTTCCCTTCTAAGAATGGAAGAGAAGATTGCCAGAAGGAAATATTATTCTGCTTTTGATGTTCCATATAATCAGAGTTTTACACTACTAGTCAAATTATAAGATGACCTCGTTATTCTCCTCTCTTCTCAATAGAATATTCAATTATTCATCATATACCCTTGTAGCAGATAGTATTGTGATGTAGCGTCTCATTTGCTGAATTTCATTGACAATTAAGTTCAAATGAAAAAAAAAATCACCCAGATCAAAGTAGGCTAATAGCACATAAATACTCTGGGAAAGCACATAAAGAAGCAGCATATACTTGTGCTGAACATTAAACACTACCCATACTTTTATTTGCACATGGACTCTTCCCATAATTTTAAAACAACTGGCATTTACATAACCCATCATGTTTGCTGATACTTTAGGGATTGGGCGCACAGGTTTGAGAAGCCAACCACATGAAAGCCACATAATAACCAACCCAAACCAAAACAATCTCCAGGCTTGTAAAGCCTGACACATGCCAAGACATGGTAAGTAAAGGAGCATGGGAGAAGGACAGGCAAGCTAAGTCCTGGGACAGCACACAGTCAAGCCATAAAGTTCACAGTACAAAGGAAAATTAAGAGTCATCACTTCTCAAGATTAGGACAGTCCAGCAAAGCTCTTTACTTCCATAAGGTTATAAATATTATTTGGCTCATTGGCTTATACTATAGTAATTTTTCTTTTGTTTTTAAAGAATTAAACAAAGGTCCTCTGTTCTCTCCCAAGCTGGTTGTGGAATAAATTTCTGCTGGATGATGAACTTTCAGAGGAAAAAAAAAACCCAAACACCCAAACTCCTATTTTTTTAAGATCCCTGTAAAGATGATGAAAACATGTTTATAGGGGAGTACCTAGCAAAAGGTTTGCAAATAAAGAGGTCCCAAACACAGATTACATGGTACTGAATATTGGCACCGAGAATACATATCATTAACATTCGAAGTTAAACACTGGAACATTTTAGTGTGAACTAACAGAACACAGACATCACGTAAGTTACAAAAATGTAAAAAAAAAACCAAAACCCAAGCACTCCTATATTCTGCAATAAACCAAGTCAAACATCCAGTTGTTTCATAGGTTTGAATAACCACTGTAAAACAGACCACTGAGAGTCATGAAGTTTTGCCTGGCCTTAGACTGCCAGTCCAAGAAATATAGAAGTAGGAAGGGAAGATAAGCCAATGCATTTAATATACAGGGATCAAACTCTGGCAAAACCACTTGTTTCAAATGCAGTCATGAACACATATATATTAAAAAACTTGCAGGACCCTTCACAGGTAATTTCTCTCAGGTCTTTAGATCTCCTATTTATATTGCCTAGGGCATTTCTCTGTAGGACAAGCAGTGGTTTCCAAAGTGTGGTGTGAAAACCCAGAGAGGTGTGCACGACAATCAATCCACTGGGGTGTGAAAAGAAACTATATATTTTACTATTAATAAAATGTAAAAATAGCATTTATTTAATCTTTAGTTCATCTTTAATTTCCATTTTCGAGGTATATTTTATAATATGCACATTACACAGTACAGGAGTACATATTGAAGTTGACTTAATATTGAAGTCCCCAGTGCACCTGCTCAGGGCCAGGCTGGATGGGGCTTTAAGCAACCTGGTGTAGTGGAAGGTGCCCCTGCCCATGCAGGGGGTTGGAACTAAATCTTTAGGTATAAGATAAAGGCTTGAGCCCCTGCCTCATAAATGAGACAGCTCTGGTGAAGGTGTGGCTAATTATACCACAATGAGATGAAGTGGTCTCTCAAGCCCTGTCATAGGTTAGTGCAGGAAAGAGAACACAAGTAAAGATTCAAAGAAAAACATTATCTCTGCATCAAGTTTTCCAAATTTATTGTGGCTTTGAATAATACTGGCCCAACATGCCATAAAGAATGTTATGAACTTGGGTATCAGCAATCTTAAGAGGTGATAATTCTCAATACAGAACTGCGAGACAGCAAAATAACCAATATATTGATGGGCTGAAACTAAGCTGCTGAAGGTTTACACTAAAAATCACCATCTCCTACAGAGGCACGTGGTCACAATCCACATCAACTGACAAAATAGAGTATAATTTTTCCTTTACAGCCACAGGAGCAAAATCTTCTGTGCACTAGACCAAAAGCGACAGAACGATTCTTCAAGGAAGTTTTATGGGACTTCTGCCATTTTCTAGAGTCTAACAGAGCAGCATGGTTAACCTGTGTATTTGGAAAAGATACAATTAAGCCAGGATCAAGGAATCATATTTTGAGGGAATCACCCTCAAAATAAAACGTAGCTTCAGTCAAGGTCAGGCTTCTCCTGAAAGAAGATTATTTATTTTCACTTTCTAGAGTAGACCCACACATTCACTAACAATGGTGCAAATATTTGTGCATAGCTTCAGAAAGTAATTTGCCCATGCAAAAGCAAAGACATGATCACCTCTCTAATGACCTTCCAGAATACACTGAATTTTCTCAGTCAGCCATTTAAGGCTAAGTCTGGTATAAACCACATTAGTAACATTTTTCTTCTCAGATCAAAGACCCAGGGCACCAGCTATGCAATAGCATTAAAAATCTGTTACACCCATGAAACATCAGAAACAGCAGTTCCCAGGTATCTGCTTTAATCCCCTCTATTAAAATGTGATTATAAGTAAAGAAAAGCCTCTGTGAATCTCCAATTACTAAACAAGATGACATAAAAGAAGACTTTTATACCCTATTTCAAAAAGTCACATAACATGGCTAACAGAAGAATATTAAATTAGGAGATCTTAAGGTATCAATGTCAGTTGAAACATGGCTATCAAAACTCACTTCCAAATACTTTTAAGAACTTTGCTCTTTAAGTAACTAAGAGTAGGATTCATTATAACTCCCTATGAATGCAACTATCACCCACTTTCTGTAATGGAGCAATTTAATCCATGAAAACATCTGTTCCAACTAATTTCTTAAGCGACTACTGTCAAAAATAGTTACTCTTGAACTTAATTCTTTCATTACCCCCTCTCTCACACATTTTCCTTGCTTCACCTTCTCTTACCACTATACCTACACAAAATCCGTTATTATATCCCATGTCCTTTTCCAGTTTAGCTCTAGTCAAGGTTTTTTTAGTTCCATCCCTGCACACCCTGGGGAAGTGCCTATGTTCTTCTTGGGTACCCACCCCCAATTCCCATTTTTATGCTCCCCTCTTTCTTCCTGAGCTCAGAGAGGAGATCCTGACAGCCAACCTGCCCTCCTGTACACCTGATGGATGTTCCAGAGTAATCTGGAAGGATCTGCACCTTAACAGCTGCCCTGAGTAAGTTGTGCCAACTTTAATTCCTTTTTTCTTTTACAGCCCTTGTTAAAAGAATGAAGAGTTTGCTCCTTTGTCCCTAATGCACATGACATCAGCACCATGAAAATGAACAAGTTTAGTCATAAAGTACATGTTCTGAAGCTCATTATTTTCCACAGAGATTATTTAACCACACCTAACTGACTCCATCCTTCAACTGCCCCTGCCTTTCTGCAGCCTTTATTACACAAGGCTCTATTCCATGTCCGCCTTGGTCTCCCTTTATCTGCTAACTCCCTCTTTTCCTAGCTCCTGCCAGTTTCAGAAGCATCAACACTTAAAGCCAAATGAGCTACATTCAAGTTTAACCCAATCTAGATTAAATTTCACCATTAACCTAATCTAGGTTAAACCTAATCACCATTCTACCACCTTATAGCACACTCCAGGTGCTTCAAGCACAGGCTTATTTTGCAGTGGCACGGGAACTGAAACCAAACCTGAGCCAGGTGTTCACGTGAGCACTGTGGTTTGTCACAAGTGTTGTTCTAGAACATTACTGCCAGGCTACAAATGTCACAGCTCACCCTCACTTTAGCACCAACTTTTCTCCTGTGCGGCAGCAACAGCTTTGCTACTTCCAGCCAAAGTTTGACCCTTCCCACCCCTGC